GCTCCCCGCCGAGGACGGGGCAGCGCGACGCACGGGGGCCGCGCCACGCCGGCAGGCACCCGCTGTATCCCGGCACCCCACTTCTGGCAAACCCACTTTGTCGCGTCACCCAATTTTTTTGCGTCACCCAATTTATTGCGGCACCCAATTTACCCCAGCACCCCACTTATTGGGAACCCAATTTATCGCAGCACCCACTTCATCGCAGCATGCGAGTTCTCGCATACCCCACTTATTGCATCACCTAATTTTTTTTCAAATACAGTTTCTTGTGGCACCCAGTTTATCCCAGCACCCAGCTCACTGCAAACCCAGTTTATCATGGCACCCAACTTATTGCAAGCCCAATTTATTGCAGCACCCACTTGATCACAGCGCCCAGTTTATTGCAAACCTGATTTATCATGGGATCCAACTTATTGCAGCACCCGGTTTATTGCAAACCCAGTTTATCCCAGCACCCAACTTAACGTAAACCCAGTTATTGCAGCACCCAATTTACTCCAAACCCAATCTATCCCAGTACCCAACTTATTGCTGCACCCAGTTTACTCCAAACCCAGTTTATCCCAGTACCCAACTTAACGCAAACCCAGTTATTGCAGCACCCAGTTTACTCCAAACCCAGTTTATCCCAGCACCCAACTTCTTGTTGCACCCAGTTTATCCCAGCACCCAATTTCATGCAAACCCAGTTATTGCTGCACCCAGTTTACTCCAAATCCAGTTTATCCCAGCACCCAACTTAACACAAACCCAGTTATCGCAGTATCTAATTTACTCCAAACCCAGTTTATCCCAGCACCCAACTTACTGCAGCACCCAGTTTACTCCAAATCCGGTTTACCCGAGCACCCAACTTAACACAAACCCAGTTACTGCAGCACCCAGTTTATTCCAAACCCAGTCTATCCCAGCACCCAACTTGCTGCACCCAGTTGACTCCAAACCCAGTTCACCCCAGCACCCATCTCCGTGCAAACCCAGCTGAGGGCAGCCCCCCGGCGCACCCCCCCCAGCGCTCACCGTCGCCCAGGAAGAGGACGAGGTTCTTGGCCACGTTCTGGTTGAGGCGCTGGAGCCGCAGGGCGTCCCGCAGGGTCTCCTGCGCCTGCCGCCGCCAGTACTCGGGGTCCTTCTCCCGCTCTGCGGGGGGACCGGGCTCCATAGCACCCAACAGCACCCACTTGCGGGGTGCAGCCCCCCCCCGACCTCACCTACCGGGGATCAGCGATGCTGAGCAGAGCTGGGCAAGGAGGAGGAGGAGGAGGAGAGCCTTCATCCTGCGGCGCTGAGCGGGTGCTGGATGGGAGAG